GATCTATTGTCACAAGTACATTCACCTCTCGCAAATGCCTTCATTACTCCACCAACGATAGGCAGATTAACAACCATTTTGTTTTCATGTCGAGCTTTCATTAATGATGCTGCTATTTCCTTAAATGTGTAGATTTTCTGTCCACCAAGGTCATAAATCTGATTTGAAGGTGACCCTTTGACAATCTTATTCAGTTCCTCTGCAACTGCTTCGATTTGAATTGGTTGTACTTTTAACTTTTTCGGAACGATAGGTATGGGCAAGTTGAGTAATTTGCTAACAATAGCATCGACAAAATCATGAAATTGAGTTGCTCTCAGTATTGTATACGGAATTCCACTTGTTTTAATCAACCGTTCACATTCTAACTTGGCTCGATAATATGGAAATGGAATTTTATCGATTCCGACGATCGAAATATAAACTAAATGCTTGATTTGTCTTTTGTCAACAGAATCGATTAAATTCTTCGTCACAATTATATCACCCAATTGACCATTAACTTTTTTCAGATTCATACTGGCAAGATGTAAGATAGTATCGATATCTTTACCAAGCGATTGATCTATTCCTTTGGATTTCAGTAAATCCATCTGAATCCATTGACCGTTGAAATTTGTATTAACATTTTCTTTGTCATAATTCTTGAAATTTCTATCTCGACTACCAATAACAAAATTCGTTTGATTGGAAGTGAATAATTTCGTTACTGCTCTTCCTAAAACACCCGTTCCACCAGTAACGAGAATTTTCGACATGTTTTATTTGGTAGACCGACAACGAGATGAGAAAATCCAAAAGATACAAGCAAAAACATGCGCCGAGAAGCCGAATAACAAAAAGAAGTAGTGTACACGTGTCGACGCTAAACGAAAGAGAAAAGAAAAAGGAAAAGAGAATATGGCACATTTGTCGATGTTTGTTTATATATGAAACGTTATTGATTTTCATTGGCTGTCGCAACATGTGTTGATCCCTGATTCGAAACAAAAAAAATCAAATGAAAGAGAAATGGTAAGATAATTTTCAATGTCTTTGATAAACCACAATACAATGCAAAAACATACGTGACGACGTCGAATAGATTAAAACCTTTGACATAAGAATATGTACAAGTCACTGGTTGACATATGTCAAAGTATTTATCGTAGGATTTGTTAATATACCATTGATTAACGAATAGTCGATTGATCATACTTTGAATTGTTTCATTTATTTCGTAAGAATTCAACAATGATGAATTAAGTGTCGAGAAATCTTTATTGGATCCACTGAAATTCATGGATAGCATGAAAGTTTGTAAACACATTTCATTGTAGAAACATTCTAATGAAGATTGTAGCAAAGATTCGAATGGGTAACAACCAATGTATAGACCAGGTAAACCGATAGGCTGTGAACATTTGTTTGAAGTTGCACAACTACATGAGTTCTGATAAGATTGAGGATTTGTATAGACTGGCCCTCTGTCGTACAAATCTAATAGAGTAAACTTCCAGTTTGATTCATGACTTGACATCAATGCGTTGCCTTGAATCAGTTCACGAACTAAATCAAATGTTCGTTCGAAGATTTTCGGAGTTGATCGTATGAATGGCTGAATTGATGAATCGATTTGAATTTGAAACAATTTCGAAGATATTAACTGAATGCTAAGAAATTTCCTTGCGTACAACTGCGCTAGACTTGTGTTCACCGTTGTCTGTACTAATTCACATAAGGACAAAAGAGCAGGGAAATAAACCGAACCAATCGAATGGAAATTGTTTCTGATTTGTCGGCTTTTATTGAATAAACCATTGAACCATTGTCGACTAGTGAAATTGGAATAACATATTTGATGATATGACGGGTGAATTTGAATGAATTCATCATAATCGATCGATACACGACTACAGGGGCAGTTGAGAGCGGTTGAATAGATTTTGTCAAGATTTTCATAATGATTTCGAGAGGAGAGTCTTACCGAAGAACTCGTCGATACATGCGTGAATGAAGTATAGAAAAAAAGTATTAAAAGACTCAGCCATAGAATGACCAGATAGAATTTCGTAGTTAATCGTTGACGTCGAACAACGCGAACGTTCTTCGATTTCGTTTGAAACAAATTCAAGTACAAAAATGTCGATTTGATCCATTGACAAAACTGACGAGCTTTCTCGCACACAGTCAACGGTAATAATAACCGTGCCCTTCGTCTTTCTCTTATTAAAATCTGAATGATAATTCGTGCGCAAATCTTGAAAACCACCAACAATCCTCCAAATATTGCAATGATTTGCGACAAAATATAAATAAATTCCATTTGTTGTGCAATCGTATACGAACAATACGAAGCTTTACATTGACTGTAATACTTCTCATACGAATAATTCGCGTTCCAATCTTCAATAAACAAATTCCTCACCAACATTTCAATAGACGTGTTCGTCTGAAATCGAGTTATTTGCGAAATATTCATCGGGTGTAGAATCTTGTACAACATCGACTGAGCATTCATATACGACTTAATACGCATAAGACATTGTTCATCGAAAAAGCACTCCGTTGTGGTTAATAGTAACGAATCGACTATGTAACAGCTGACATACATTCCTCGAACATAATCGTGTGTAAACAGAGATGCACGAAATCGAATTTGTGCTTTACAGTTGAAGTCGACTCCGCACGAACAATTGACATAATCCAGGAAATACCATTGGATGGCATTGTGCTTATTCCTACTATCGAAGTAGGTCGTTTGAGCTAATTTTAGTGAAGATATTAAACGATTAGAGAAGGTTGTACTCCGAAGTATGTCGATTGCTTGTTTGAAAGTTTGTTTGATTGTTGATTCGAATAGATGAAGAAATGAAAGAAATTCATTTTGAAGTATCTTCATCGAAATGAGTTCGATTGTGATATATTCGGTTGCATTGAATCGAAGTAAACTAGTTTGAATGGTATCATAGACTAGTTCACAGAACGCCGATAGTAAAGAAAAGTATTCATATGCAATAAATCGAAAGTCATCAACAGCGAGATTTCTTTCTTGATCAATCCAATAGTTATTATCATACCAGAGGTCAGATACGAATACGCTTGAACATATAGGATGAAACTTCGGGTGAATAGCGATGAATGATTCATAACGAAAAGAGATTTGAGTACAAGGACATCGAAAGTCATTTAGGGATAAGTTATTTAACTGTTCGAATTGAGTTACAGTTGGATTGACGACGACGACGGTTTTGTTCTGACTCTTTGTGGAGATATAAACACCAGACATGATCAAAGAGAGCACAAGGACAATCAAGTAGACTCTTGTAACAATTTGTTCTTTACGTTGTATCCTTCCGATTTGAGAATAACTATTGAATAGATTTAAATCGATGATTAAAGTACGAACTTTTTGCAGGAATAGATACAAAGAAGTTCTCACAGGTACTAAACAAATCGAAACAGAAAAGAACACTCGACATAGTTCTCAGGCAAAGTCTTACCTAAATCAGCAGCTTCAGTGAGATTCGGTCGTCGTTGTTGGATCTTATTTCGAATGAACGTGACTATGTTTGGAACCAATAATCGTAAGACAAGTGTCAATCCGCCGTACAAACTGATAACACTTGTGAATGCATTGACAACATCGCGCTTCGCTTCGATTGTATATTGACAATACGTTGGATGGCAGTGTTGGAAATATTCTTCATAAGATTTGGTAACAGACCAGCTTTCGATGAATAATTCATAGGCTAATGTTTCGATCGGAGTCGATGGAGGAAATCTTGATGCATTTAGTACTTTGAATGATGACGTGGATTCATTTAGGTAAGAAATAAGTATACTTAAGCAAGTTTCATTGAAAAAACATCGCAAGTTCGACTGCATCAAGGATTCAATAGGTAAACAGCCGACAAATAGACCGGGTAAGATGATTGTTGCATTTATCATTAATGTACTTGCGTTTCTGCTGGATAGGATCGGACTCGACCCTGGATAATCATATCGTGTTAAGTTCGCGTAGATTCCACTGGATAGTCGATTGATTTTCGATGTGCTTTGATAGCAGTCGAATTTTTTACCTTTCGTGGTAACTTCGTGATAATATATCGGATGTATGTGCAGCAAAAAACTATCTCTATTAGGAATACCTTCCAATTGCAGAGTAGACTTGGTTTCTACCGCTGAAAATAGACGATTGTTGATCGTCATATATCGAAAAAGTGTGATTTGATTTTGAAACAACGACGGTGTTGTGCGTTTGAATAGATCGATGAATGCATTGGTTTCAATGTTGAATGTTTTGTTCGAAACAAGTTGAAGAGTTAAATACTGATTGGAATAGAATTCAATTAAATTATCTTCTATGATTGCTTGAGTTTGTTCACATAGTGTACGAAGGATTTGAAATGAAAATGCTGCACTATGACGAAAATCCAATTGAAAGTAGTAGCTCATGTTTTCACTGTACAAAAAATCAATCCAGGACGAAGTGATGAAGTCAGATGAACAAATCGGATGATAACTTGGCGTTATATTCATAAGATTTTTGTATGGAATCGAAATGTTCTCACACGGGCATTCTAATTTGCTCGAAAGTAAATTTTGTAATTCTTCATATTGCTCTTGAGTAGGTGCTGAGATCTGAATCGTTTTTCTTTCATTGGTTAACAGTGTATACAATAAAAACCCTAATAAGATGATAATTAAGAGAGGAATGTAAATTCGTGTCGATAAAACTTGACTTCGTTTGATGAATCGATCTTGATTCTCATCATCGAATATATTCGCACTGATAACACGTCGACTAATGCGATTAAATCGATGCATTGTTAAATTTTGGTTATCTCAATTGAAGCAAAATATAAGTGGTTAAGGATAGTGAAAAGAACAACACGAGGTGATATTTAATCTTGATAAAAATTCTTTCAAGATACATCCTGAACGTCGATGAAAGACAAATACATAGTGCCGACAGTTTTTTTTTCAGCAATTAGCAAAATTTTTCCGCGTCAGCATTCTGTTTCCATCTGTACTAAACTTTCATCGGAATGTTGTCTAAAATGACGCGTTTGATTATTATAGTTGGTCTTATCATCATGGTCATCGCAGTGACCATTCTGTCGATAATCTTGATACGTGACCACAAGACATCGTCAACGATAACCGAGATAAGTACGTATGAATCTGCTCTCGAACGACTAATAGCTTTTATTTGCAGCATCAACAACAGAAGCGTCGTCTTGCAATTTAAATAAGACGACATTGAGAATTTTCAATCAAACTTCGACTTCAATATCTTCGATAATAGCAAATCAGACAAATCGTAAGATTATTTCACAGTTTAATACCTATTTAATGTCTCTCGAATTAGATTCGAGATGCGAACAAATGACGTTTGCTCCATCAGAAGTTCATCAAATGTTGGATGCAACTTTAGCGATGGCTGTCGGTGATTTTGATGATGATAACTTAACAGATGTGATACTCGCTAATTTAAACTCCAAGAGTATTCAAATTTATTCAAAATATTTAAATGGCAGATTTCAAGACAGAGTTCGCTATAATAATTTCTTTTTCACCGATTATTTTGAAATTGCTGACGTGAACAATGATAAGAAAAAGGATGTTATTTTCCTAACTGACGACTACAGTAGTGTTGGCTTCTTGATGGGTTTTGGAAATGGAAGCTACTTCCATGAGCCGGCATTACCAACTGGTTCTTCGCCAAAAGCTGTAGCTACCGCAGATTTTAACGGTGACCATTATCTGGATCTTGTGGTTATCAATCGTCGTAGTAATATGGCTGGTATATTTTTTGGATACGGTAATGGAAGTTTTCAAGAAAGAAAACATTTATATACTCTGGACGGTCCTTATTCTGTAGTGACCGCTGATTTTACTAATGATAATCGAATCGATTTTTGTATTGCAGAAACAGAAGCAAAAACTATTACTGTGTATCTCAATGATGGTAAAGGAAATTTCCCACAAACAATTTCATATTCGACAATCAATCATCCACGAAATCTGGCTATTGGTGATTTCAATGCGGACAACTACGTGGACATTGCTATGACTAATACATTTAATCATACGATGACAGTTCTATTGAATTCAGGTGATGGAAATTTTTATGCGGAAAAGTTTTTTCCTACTGGACACACTCCGTACTCTATTGCTGTCAGTGATTTTAATGGAGACAGTTATTTGGATATTGTCACTGCTAATAACAATGCTAATTATTTAAGTTTATTTCTTGGCTTTGGGGATGGAAATTTTCAAACAGAAATGAAGATTTTTACTCATGGGTTATTACCAGTCGTAATAGCTGTTGATTTTAATAATGATAATCGAATCGATATAGTCACAACATCTCGGCAATACAGAACTCTTATTATTATTTACAACACTTGTTAACAAAACGTATATTTGTCTGATAAATAAACTTTTATTTGCTTTGAATGGCCGTCAATGGCAGTCAGGCATCAGGTGAAGAGGCATGTTCAGGATAGTTTCATTCACATACAGTTAAATTGCATTGTCGTGAGCAACTTGATATCCACCATACTTCTATGTTTTCACTCGCATATGCATGCTAGTTTCTCGTTCTTCTTTTGTATTCTTACACTATTTAAATCTTCTATTTATACAATGCGCGCCTATAGTATCGCTCTTTCAGTGCAAGCGAATGAGTACTAAGTCTCGTATTTTTAAAACTACATCGACTACTGAGCAACAGACTTTTTCAATACAGTCACAATTGTGCACATGATATATACTTGATTTAGTTTCTTTTCTGTTTGAACAAAACTCAGAGGAATGACATAGCGTTCAGATTGATGAATCATTCATTGTACTTTGGAGGTTTTACTTTAAGTCACTTCTTCACCCACTGTTGGTATGGGTTTTTGTTTTCATAAAGGATGAAAATAGAGTCGATTTGTAAGATGTCATGTATGTACGAGACGAGAAGCTGTGCAAGTGTGCTATCATAAACTATACTATAAGATTAAGTTGAATATCGACTTAGCTATATTCAGTTAGTTCTTGAGAAGCTAAAGTTATACGTTGCATTCTATTAGACGTAAATTTGCGATTGTTAGAGACTTGCATTTATGTTGGAAAAAGATTATAAATGAAAGAAAACCGAGAAGCTGTTGTCTACAACACTTTCCATTGCTTAAGAAAGCACACAATTCATTTTAGCACATGATATAGGCTCACGATAGTAAGGATAAAAAAATACGACATATGTATGTTTTTACTGCTTATAATTATAAGAAACCCAAGAACGGCACAAAATACACTTCATGAATTGGTTCTTTCCAAGTAAATCATTCTGTTGACAGACGAACGATGCATGAATGCAAGAAATCAAAACGAATCATCATTTCCAAAGGAGAGCAAAAGACAGTACTCTTTGTCTTTGGAACAGTTTCGAAATAAAGTTTAAATAAAGATGTTCATTACATAGATAGCATAGGACATCTTATGGAAGAAAAAGGAGAAGAAGACAATACATTATACATTACGAAGGTTAGTTAAGCAGCATTTGCAATGCGGCGACACATTTTCGCATGTATATTCAGTAGCACCGGCTTCATAGCAGTATTACTGTCAAGTATCCATGCGATTAAAATAGTGAATGATTGAATTTATTCATTTGTTTCTCTGCTGATATCAAGCATCAAAACTAGTTCTTACAAGATATGCGTTAGGAATTCCAGCATAACAATCGATGCTTGAACTCGAGACAACAGGTTATTGAGAAGAATATGCGTGTGCATAGTCCTTACCAAAAACAATGGCAATAATGAGAAGAAGTTTGATCATATTCCGTCGTATCGTTATTTTTTAAAAAAACACAGAATGATCGAAATTGGATCATTGACACACACAGTCACGATATTTATAGTTTAGAATGTACGATAGATATATGTTACAAAATGAATCTACGCATTAATCAAAAGATCTAGAGCTATGTTACAATAACTGCAGGATTTAATTACACTGATTGTCGATGACTCTTTCTACCAGTGGCAAAGATATTCAAAGGTAAATATGTAAAGTGAATGTGGGTGAGAAAGAAAGAGAGAAAACATTTTAAGCACTTAAATCATCTCTAATTGAAAATCAAAGAAAAAAAAACATTTTTGGTGTTTCTAAAATAACCATGATGCATCGTTGGATTTTATTTCATCTGTTTTTCGCAGTGAACTTATATCATTTAGTTAGTTCCAAGAAACCGATAGCATTGATCTATCGAGGTCCTGCTACTTGTAAAGGTTGTTCAGAATCTGTCGCAGTGCTTCTTCAAGACAAATACAAAATTATCTACGCTGGACCAAAAGAGAAAGTTGATGTCGATGCCACGACTCTATCAACAGCAGCTTTGTATGTACAACCTGGTGGTGGTGATCTTGACGAAGCCTGGCCACATGTTCGTAAATACGCTGCAGCGATTCGTAAATACGTAAAGAAGGGTGGAAGATATCTCGGCATTTGTCTCGGTGGCTATTTAGCTGGAACTAAACCTGGCTTTGATCTTCTACCAGGTTCCGGCCAAACCGATCAATACATCACATCGAAAGGTGCTGTTGTTACTACTGAAATCGATACTGTCGTTCCACTCTATTGGCGAGGGAAATTGCGACATGTATATTTTCAAGATGGCGCACGTTTCGATCTTGACAAAAAGGCAGCAAAAACGGAAGTTTTAGCAACATACACAAATGGAAAGATTGCTGCTGCGGTACAACACGTTGATCAAGGACGTGTGGGTATGGTCGGACCACATCCTGAAGCTGATCAGAGCTGGTTTGATATATATAAACTCAAGAATCCCGATGGCAAAATGAGTTTCGATCTTTTTCATGATCTTGTTAACACATTGATGAATTAAGTATTAAATATAACTATCGAGATGAATACATTCTGAATTGATACTTGAGAGAAGTGCATAATTAATTCAATAAAAATTATTTCATACCCAGAAGGTATGGAGAAATGATCATCATCTGTCGATATATAAATCAGATGCAAAACGATGCAAAAAAAACACATATTCGTATCATCATGCTTCCTCTCGTGGTTCTGATCATTTTCGTTCTTGTCAACAATGGTCACACAGCATTTCATATTTGTGATTGTTACTGTCCAAATAAACAGACACGTATAGGATGGGCAACGTCATTCTCCTGCTCATCATCATCATGTTTAGTGGCGTGCTTGGCTAAATATTCGAATTCTCTTGAATGTTTTTCAGCAAGAACAATCTCTGGGTAAAAAATTCAAACGTTCATCTCAATGAAACCTTTTATTTCCATTTAGATCTTGTGGAAAAGGACTTCAATAATCAATACATTAACTATTTTACGATTGCTTCTTTTTTTTTATAACTGAAACTTTCCATTTTCATTTAATCCTTTCAAAATTACATTACGTGTAACAGTAACCAGAGAAAAAAATCGATTTCATGCATGTATTGTTGACGCGAACAAATCCAGTGGCAGTCTTGTAGTGTTTTTCTATTTTTATTCGATTTTCTTTTTCATTTTATTGCAGCTTGCACTTATTTCTTTACAGTATTTGCTTCACCCTCAAACTATTTATTGTCATAGTGCAACCGATTACGTGTAATCATGTATCAAGATACTTTCAAAATTTTTGCCATTTGTTTCGGCTCTCATTCAGGATAAATATCAACTAGTTTGATCATGACTAAGTAAGATAAGACTACAAAATATCATGTGCTTACTAAATGGTTACCAGGCAAATGTTTCAGATATAAATATCCACGATAATATGAATAAAATGAATATTCACCATATTTACGATCGGACATGAATCAGTTAAGCCTTTTAATTTCATTAATTATCGCTTCTGTGTTTGTTGTCAATGTTATAAATGCGACGGACACATTGCATACTGGAAATATAACTGCATTAATCGAAGGCAGTATTAAACATCTCTTTTCATTATGGATCGTACCTTGTTCCGAATGGTTGAATGTCTTTACAAACAATGCTGTTTGGTATCATCCTAAGTTTCCCGCTGGATTACAATACAGTCAACTAATGAATTTTTGTGAACTCAATCAAGCTACTAAACCAGCATTGTTTCGTCAAGATGGTGATATCCGATTGACAGTCAGCGGTAACTCCTCGACATCTGCTTTGTATCATGTTATGGTACCTTATGTCTACGGACAAATTGAAAATGGTAATAACAATTCATTATTCATCAATAGTGGCTATGAATATGTTCAGTTAGTTGCTGATGAGAATAATGTCATTCGTATTAATACAGTCGTCGAATTCTTCAATCGTGCATCATTACCATTCACTTGGCCGGATAATAATTAAACAATCAGAAACGATTTTTATTTTTTTCTTTAAACGAAATTAATTCAGTTAATATCACTCTCATGGAGTGAACGATATTTAGAAGAAGCAGATTTAAAATTCATCGCGCTTCTCTCTAAGAGACGTTATTAAATTGAATAAAGAAAAATGCAATTGAAGCTGATGTGAACAGAAACGGTAGTAGTTAAGCAATAGTGATGAACGTCAGATTTTACAAAAGATAATGACAAGCGAAGATGATCCAAAAGGTATCACAACCTAATTAGACGATAAATACTATACCAGAATTTGCCAAATCGTAACAATGTCGGTTACACGATTATTTGCATTAGAAGTATCACGAATTTTCATAGAGATTGCCAGCACTTGACAGATAGTATAAACAATATAGTCGCTCTTAGTTCCGTAGATGAGCGAAGAAAATTCATTAAAGATACTACCCATATCAATATTTGCTCGAAGTTTGTTAAGAGTGCGCATGAATAAAAATGAAGACTGACGTGTGCGAGACATGTGTTTTTTTTTCTTTCCTCTACCATTTTCACATTACATTCTCGGATAGAATAAAAAAAATCAACGCACCTCTATCAAGAAAGCAAAAGTGTAGTTATGTCATCATTTCACACACTCCCGATCGATCTTGTATATCGAATTTTGGATCAAATCGAATCGACATCCATATTTCTAGCACGCGTGGTATGCAAACGATCGGATATTATCATTAATAGCCATCATTCATATCAAGTAAACATCACTGCAATTTTGTCTACCTAGACAGCGACTGAATTTAATTTTATGAAGAAAAGTTTAGATTATCCGGTTCTGAGACACCTGAGCAGTTTATTACTAATTTGACACGGTAAAATATGAATATGAAATAGTTTATATAGACCTGCACTATAACTTTATATAGCAATTTACAACGTTAAACGTTTGGAGCAAATTCATTGGTGATACAGGTATACTATACTTGACCAATGTATTACAGCATAACAATGTAAATTATATTTTCCTTAGTGTTGATTTTCAGCGTGTACTAAGTTGAATATTCGACGATCTCGATGATTAATCTTTAAGGTAACGGTATAAAACATTTAGTCTAAGGATTGCAAAATAATACAGTACGTTCATATTTTATCGGATTATATAGTTTATTAATTTGATTATGTAGACCGTAACTGCATTAGAATTGTCTCATAACGTACTTGGAACAGACGGCGCATATTATCTAGCGACGTTTTCACAGAACAACAAAGTAAGTTTCCATATTTCGAATTATAGATCCCATTTCTCTGCTTTTACCTTGATACCTTTGAACTTGAATCTTGCGTGGAATGATCCCAGTGCAGATAGTATACGATACTTAGATAATGCATTACAGAATAACGCAGCCAGTGCTACATTCTTTATCAGCAGTATTTTTATTCAACTTATTATATAAAGACACTCACTACAGTCAACCTAGGAGCCAATAAGATTTCATTCCAAGCTACCCAGTATTTATGTAACGTCCTAAAGAAAAACTCAGTACATTCATTTTCTTATATGATCATGGGTCTAAATCCTATTATCACAGACAATCATCTCGTTAATATACTATTTCAATGGAATTCATGAGCAAGGTGCGCAATACTTCGGTGATGTTCTACGACACAATACAGTTAGTTATACGTTAATCTATCTGTTTGATCTTAATCCCACTCATGCCATGTAGACACTGACAAGTTTGAATATTGGTTCGAATAATATTGACGATGATAGTATACAACATTTGGCTAATGGATTAGAAACAAATTCAGTACAATACGTCCTTTTGATTTTTCAACATCACGTTGATATACAGATATTGACGACTTTAATTCTTTGTAAGAACAAATTTGGACATCAAGGATTCGAATTTTTGAGTATTGCCCTTCGAAATAACGAAGTAAGAAGTGCAGTTGAGTCGTACATAGTCCACATGTCATTTCAGACACTTAATACTCTTGACTTTCGAGCTAATCGATCCTTCAATGACGATGCACAATATCTGACGAATGCATTGCATGCTAATACAGTGAATTTTATTCTCTGTTTCTATGCTCTATTCGCATCATAAATATCTACTAAAGGCATTAGTGGTGTTGGAACTTTCCTGTACTAGTTTTAGCGACAAAGGAGCTCGATATTTGAACGAGGCGTTAGCATATAACACGGTAATGTATAATTTCGACTTCATATAACAGACACTGATCATTTGATGTCTTGGATCAAACGACATAACCGATCAAGGAATACAGTACTTGAGCAGTTGCTTGGAAAGCAATATATTAAGTGACTTCACTAAATGTTTCATGCACATCTAAGTATGCAACATACAGACGCTTAGAACGTTAGACTTAGCTGCAAATAGAGTGGGTGTTCAAGGCGTACGTTACTTGAGCACTGCTCTACGAAGAAATTAGGTTATTATCGTGTAGTTGTTAATCATTTGGTGCCTTTATCACTGATTCAGATCTTAATAACGTTGAGTTTATGGCACAATGCGATCGAAGCCGAATATGCTCAGTATTTAGCTGATGCACTAGAGGTCAATAAAGTGAGTGAGAAGCAATTGTGCTCTTCACTACAGAGGAATACAGTGAATAACATTGTCGTTTTAGATTTCGTACTTTCAATACTGTTATGGAATTAGACACTGACAATGTTAGATCTTTGACAAAATGATATTGATCCAGAATTAATCCGGATTGCATGCAACATATTACCATCTAAAGTTGCGAAACACATTGTCTGGTCACCCACTGCACTCCGACAGTCGCGACTAAGTCCACATACTTTTATTACTAAACCTTCTGTAGAACTATGGAGCTTTTATATAAACATCACTGCATTCGATACCTAATAACATTTTACTTCCGAATCCATTGACTACTTTTTGTATGACTTCGAACCTTTTCTTTTCTGCTCTACAAACGTTCGCGCACATCAAAGAAATTGTTTCTACTTGAAAAAGAAAAAAAAAACTTACACACTTTCTATTGTAAAAATTCCAAGTAAGATGAATCGAAAACCAATAACAAAGGCCAATGTAACTTCGACTAAAGCAAAGCCGAAAGCTTCAACAGTACCCAAAACATCACCGCCCGTCGAAACAGAAATATTTCAAGAAAGTTTTCGACATTCTTGTACAACACAACACTTTGCTCTGGTTTGGCTCGATGAAAACTACGACCAAAACAATTCTAACTGTCGAACATTAGTCACAGGATTGCAGACCATTATCAAAAAGATCGACGTTTTCAATGATACTAATGAATGCATTAAATTTATCAAAGCGATTCATAACCAAGATGTGTATTTGATCATATCCAATCCGGACGAGAAAGCACTTACTCGCACCCATCAAACTGAACAGGTGAGCGTGATATTTATTTTCGATGATACGAATTCGTCGAACGAGTCGTGGCCAGATAAGTTGAAAAAAGTCCAAGGTATTTACTTGAGTGTGGAAGCGCTCTGTGCATCAGTGAAGAATACTGCCAAGCAGTCCGATAATGAATACAATGAAATACGTTTTATCTCGTCAAATGATATTGAAAAGCGCGATTTGAATGAGCTGGATCAATCCTTTATGTACACCCAATTGATCAAAGAGATTCTACTTGAACTAAAATATGACGATGCATGCGTGCAAGAATTGGTTACCCATTGTAATGATAATCGAGACGCTATAAAAGCCAAGTTACACGGTCTCGGCGAATTCCAGAAAAATTATAAACGAAACGAAAAAGCAGTTTGGTGGTACACGAAGGAAATCTTCACCTATCATTTAGTTAATTGGGCCTTACGTGAACAAGAATTCGACACGATTATTCGTGTAGGTTTCTTTATCAACGACCTCCATCGTCACATTGCTGAATTGCATCAAGCGCAAATATCGAACAGAAAAGATGAATATATCGTTTACCGTGGGCAAGGTATGTCGAAGGAACGTTTTACCGCATTAAAGGAAAGTGTTGGCGGGTTGCTAGCCTTCAACAGCTTTTTATCAACGAGCAAGAAAGAACAGGTAGCTCGGGGCTTTCTCGGAACAGCACTCACCAATGGCGATCCCATCGGACTTCTTTTTATGATTACTGTTAGTCCATTGATCTCATCAGCAGTGTATGCCGATGTTACTGGTGTTAGTTTTTACGAGAAAAATGAAGCTGAAGTTTTGTTCTCCTTTGCAACAATCTTTCGTATCCAAGACATATGTTTGGAGAGTAATAATCCGGAAGTCTGGATTGTAAAACTTCAACTAACCAGTGACGAAGACAGAAAACTCAACATTGTGATGGATCGAATGCGAAATGAAATTGAAGGGTCAACACCTTTATATAAACTAGGTGCGTTGATGATTAAAGTTGGTCAGTATAACAAAGCCGAAGAGGTTTATCTAAAGCTAATGAAAGACGCGACCAATAATACAGAAATGGGCAATATTTATCATCAATTCGGTTTCACTAAATACAAACAAGGAAATCCGAGAAAGGCTCTAGAAGCATATCAACGAGCTTTGAATCTCTATCTAGCATGTTTTGGTAATGATCATGCGAATGTGGCTGCCGTTTACAACAATATGGGTTTGGCTTACGATAGCCTGGAAGATCAATCCCAAGCATTGATTTGTTACCAAGAAGCACAACATATTTACGAAAAAAGTTCATCAGCGAATAGCTCAGTATTAGCTACATGTTATAACAACATCGCATCAATCTACGATCAACAACAAGATTACGAACAAGCTCTATTGTACTTCAATAAATCATCTGAAATGTATAACGGTTATACTACTTCTGATCATCCAGATTTCGCTACGTTGAAGAATAACATCGGTTTGGTTCATTTAAAGAAAAATGAATACAAAAAAGCCATCGAGTGTTTCCAAGAGGCAGTAAAGATTGGCAGAAAAGCTCTACCTCCTGATCATGCCGATTTACTAGCGTATCAAAAGCACCTTGACAATGCAAAGACGGTATTGGACAAGTACAAGTGAAAAACAATGAAATATTTTCTCCTGCATCACTACAGTGCGCAAATATTTGAGGAGAAAACGTTCTTTACTTTTTATTTAAGCAGCATTGACTGCTCTTTTCTGTTTCAACTTTTCTTCTCTTCCTACTTGTATCACAGCTCGTCAGTTTAATTTCTTTCTCTTCTCAAGAAAAAAGCTCTTTTTTTTTCTTTTCACCTCTCGTCAAAATTCAAAGTAAGATGAGTGAAACAGTGGCGAAAAACAATGACGACTCGCTGAGGACAACATCTAACGGTGCACTACTAGCAAAATCATCTCTGGATGCCAAAACAGGAACTTTCTCCCAAATATTCCAACATTCTTGCATCAGACAGAACTTTGATTTAGTCTGGCTTGATGAAAACCTCGATGAAAAAAATATCAAATATAAGAAATTAGCCGAAAGCTTGGCGAGCATCATCAAAAAACTCGACGTGTTCAATGATACCGACAATTGTATCAAAGATATTCAAAATATTCGAAGTAAAGATGTTTACCTGATCATATCCAATCCCGATGAAAATATACTCACTCGCACTCACCAAACCGAACAAGTAAAAGTAATATTTATACTTTCTGAGGGACGTACAGCTGACCCATCATGGAAAGTCAACCGGCAGAAAATTCAAGACATCTGCACGAGTCTGGAGAAGCTGTGTGAATCTATCAAAGAAACCGCTAACACTTTCGAAAGTGAACTTGAAGAGTTATGTCTTCTATCAAACGAAGAGATGAAGAAAGACGCTTTAGATAAACTCGACCAAGCATTTATCTATACTCAATTGATTAAAGACATTTTACTCAAGTTAGAAGACGATAATCGATGCGTGCAGAAATTAATTGCGTACTGTAAAGAAAATCAAGATAATATAAAAACGAAGCTGGATGGTCTCTCGGATTTTGAAAATAGCTATCGAATAGAGGGAACACCAATTGGGTGGTATTCGAAAGAGAGCTTTATCTATTATTTGGTCAACGCTGCCTTGCGTAGTCAAGAATTCGATCGGATCATTCGAGTAGGCTTTTTTATCAAAGATGTTCATGAACAGCTTGTCAGATTACATGAAGAACAAGTGTCAAGCAAAGATCCAACGTTTCTTGTTTATCGTGGTCAAGGAATGGAGAAAAAGTATTTTGAAAAATTGAAAAGAAATAACGGTGGACTCTTGGCTTTCAACAGTTTCATATCCACTAGTAAAAACCCAGGTGTTGCTGAGGGTTTTCTTAAAAGCGCTCTGGAAAAGTCTCCAATCGGTATCCTGTTCAAGATTACTGTCGATCCATCAATTACATCAGCAGTTTTTGCTGATATTTCCAAGTTTAGCGACCATGGAGCAGAAGAAGAAATTTTGTTTTCCTTCGGTACAGTCTTTCGTATCAACGAGATCGAACAACGAACGGGCGATTCAAGAATTTGGGATGTAAAACTTCGGTTGACTGGTCATGAAGATAAAAAACTCAATGATTTGATGGAGCAGATACGACGCGAAATAGAAGGACCGACACCCAAATACAAGTTAGGCACTTTAATGATCAAAGTCGGTGAATACAAGAAAGCAGAAGAAATCTTCGATGATTTATTAAAACACGAAAAAGACCAACAACACAAGGCTGAACTGAATTATCAACTTGCATCAATTAAATATAAACAGGGAGATCTTGAAGGATCCTTGGCGCATTGTCATGAAGCTGAACGTCAATATGAAAAACACCCAAACGCTCGTGTTAATCTGGCTACAGTATATGTCAATTATGGTTTAGTCTATGACAGTCAAAGTAACTATAAAACCGCATTAGACTACTACGAGAGAGCGCGCGAAATTTATGAAGAAAATCCATCGTCGAATCAATCACATATAGCTACGTGCTACAACAACATTGCATCATTGCATGAGCAGCAGCAAGATTACGATCAAGCTTTAGAATATTATAAAAAATCATCTGACTTCTATGAAAAACAATTTCCTTGCGGACATCCCGATCTAGCTGTTATAAAGAATAATATTGGATTGGTGTATAGGAAGAAAAAGGATGATGAACAGGCTTTGCAATACTTCAAAAAAGCGGTGGACATTGGCTGTCACATTTTGCCTCCTGAGCATCCGGATCTGTCAATATACAAAGCGAATTTGAACAGCACTAAAGACAAACTAGATCATGATGAATAAAAAATCAACTGTTTAGTTTTCCTTAAACTTTATTCTCGAATGTCATATAGCATTGTGAGTCATAATAAAACAAGGTATTCGTACGTCATATATGACGCGTTGTATACTTGAAAACATTAAACTAAAGTCATCCTTCGACGAATGTTTGTTTGACGAGTAAGAAGAAAAACATCGATAAGCAATATCATGTTTCGTTGTCATTAATAATGGCATAAATTTAGACAAAGAATGATGAATAATTGCACTTGCACCATATAGATGTAATCCGATAGTTTATGATAATTCGTCAAGTATTTGAGACAAACATAAATCTCATCTGACTACATAGCTTGAAGCAAAATATGAAGCTTCATTATAGAATTACTTGACTTTCGGTAAATGTAAGTAGAGAAGCATTATGATCGGTACGATTTTATGTTACATGCTCCTGCTTGTGTTCACTGGTATTAATCAATTAGAAGCACATTCGGACAACGATATGTATGATGGGTTATATGGAAATCGATTTGCAATTAACGATCATATGTCTGTTTATGCTGATAATAATATTCAACAGTTCACAATTGTGCGGCGACCGTTCTCGTCTAATGCACTTACGAATATGATCAGTTACAGTAATATTTATCGAGATAGTAGACTTAATTCGTCCAACATTTACATTCATAACATTGCTACAGGTGCAAAATTAAATAACAACAATTCAGTCGTTGCGTTCATAGCGGAAACTATGGATCACAAGTCATATTTAATTGTAATGTGGATACCAATTACGTCTTCCGATCCAAATGAAATCAACTTTGTGGAGTTGTCAACAAACAATATTGTGAAACAAAACGTTCTTGGTATTGATTCAGACAGTGCGCATATATATGTTGTTCAACTAGCTTCGACTCTTTATTATGACGTTAATTCGAAAATAAATCGAACATATCATAATGTCGGGTTCTGGGACCCTCATCAGTTCATGATTGGTGAAGCATTGGCCGTTACAAATGATCAACGTCTTTTTTTACTTGCATACAGACAGGGAAAATATGAACTTCGGCCAGCGTCAAGCAGATTTTATCTTTGCTTATATACTGTTGACCTTTCCAACGTATCTAAGCCAATATCAATGGATCCATTTGAATGGACAATGACTTTCCCAGTGGCATATCTCTCCGAGAATAGAGAATATGCAGCACTGTCACTGGATCTGAACGAAGAATCTGATATGTTGATTGCAGGAATAGCATCCATGAATAGTGTAGTGATTTTCTCCATTAAGGACAGATCGAAACCTCCAAGTGTTTTCAACAATCATACTTTATTACAAAAAAACGTATTATTTGGTAGATCAGTTGCACTTCTAAATAACGATACATATGCTGTGCTCGCGTACGCGACATCAACCTTACCATGGTCCAGTTCTCAGATCCAGGTAAATACGTTCTATTGTTAATAGAAGCTAAATATTGAAATTCTATAGTTTTATTCTCTTGATATCAATTCAAATCCAAAGCCAATATTTGTCTTCCCAAACAATCAACAGCCACTTCCAGTATCAACTAGATTACAGTCGCTCTATCGTATAATTAAGTTTCTATCCTGGGATTCAAATAACATTGGGCTCTTACTTGATCCTTTTAAAATCCTTTTACTTCCTGCAAGTCCACCGGGATACTGTAGTAGTTTGAACAATACACACGAAAACTATATGACTTTTTCAGTATACAAACCGCGACCATGCATTCCGGGAACATATAAGCACACCTCGGGCCTTGGTCCGTGTTTTATTTGTCCAACCCATTCGAAAAATAATGGTAGTTCGGCGATCAACTGTGAACGATGCTTTGCTACGAACACATCACGATGTTTTCCAGGCGCTATAAACGAGATTGATACAGTGGAGTTAACAAATCACGATCAAGGAAATCCCTATCCAATTTCACCTGAATCGACACAATTTGATGATCTACTACTTCAAAACATTCTCCGATTACCAACGACAACAAAAGAATGTTTACTTCTTTCACCTGTCTTTTGGGCTTGTATCATCATCCTCGTTTGTCTCGTATTCTTTCTTATCAGCAAACTTATTGTACCCTGTTTCAAGCATGTGAATGGACAAACTATTCTCAAAAACATTTTCGTACGCGTTGATTTAATTGGCGAAGGACAATATTGGTTAGGCGGACTAATTTCAACTTCTCTTTTCGTTCTCATTATATTTTCATGCAAATTTAGTATTTCATTCATGAACCTCTATCCATACGAACAATCGTCGATACTTGAACGAATTAGTACTACCTGCGATAGTTCATTGGTCAATGCAAAATTCAGTAGCTCTTTACAACTAATATCGTTACATAAACATCAAGAAGAAAAACCGATTTTTCGTTTACTCGAACAACAAAGCATCAGTCTATATGTACAATTTATTAGTACGGCTTTTACATGTGATGATCTGCAAATTCAACAGATGAGAGATCATGAACTAAGTACTCCATTAGGAAATTCCAATTGTTCTGCAAATAATAGTATACTTCAAGTTTCTACGACCTTCTTGCCGCAACACTTCGTCACAACGGAATTTGAATTGAACGGGCCACATTTTGTTGGAGGACTTCGCGTTTGTCTGTCTGCTCCATCGGTATCTACTGAAAACGAAAAATATACTGCGAAACAGATGGATTTTTGTCAGTTCTTATTCGTAGATAATCAAACTATTGCTAGTAAACAAAAAATATACATAAAATTGATTAAAATTATCAATCGAACGGCAAGTATAACATCAGAGGATGATGATGTCATTTATAGTGGCCTCTGGTTACCGACTCTCATGTCCGGTGCTCTAACAGATGAATTACTTTTTACGCAAAAGGGAGAACACTATCGTTATCTACCGATGAAAACAAGCTTGATTGTTGATATAAGTGAATCAGAATTTTTCGTGAAAAACACCCAAGAACCAATCGCTCGAACTTATGAAATCATATTCAATACGATTCTTTTTTCGAGTAAGATCACAACGACTTTCCATTTATCGTTCGTTTTTTCTTTATATTAAATTTCATTCTCTTTTAGTGTTATGTTTGGATCTACTTGGACTTCTATTCATCGTGTTCAAAATGGCCATTCGTCCCTTGATTAGCTTGGCCAGAAAACGTTTCCGTTCAAAAAGAACGAACTTAGCATCATCAGCTATACAAAGAGTCGATAGTCAACTTCACGCCTATCAATACTAAAGCTAAACTGTGTATTTTTTGTTTATTTTCTAATATAATAAATGTTTAAACAATCTTATTTAAAAAATTGTAAATGAAAAAGCGAAGAACCATATGTTGACTAAAACAGCAATGTCCAAGGTACCATACTTTAGGAATTCCTAGAGTTCCTAAAAAATACAGCAAAAACTAATCATTTCCTTACAGAACTGGGAATTCACCCTCATTTCCTACACAGTTCCCTATCAATTCCATCCTCCATTCCTAACACATTCCTCTATTTCTCACACACCACCTCAATACCTATCCACAATCACTACTACCATTCCCAAGTTCCTAATCAAGGAACTGATGCCACGATAATACCTACAAAAGGAATTGAGGAAATCAGTAGAACTGACCGACAATTCCCTACCAGGGAACTGACCTCTCCACCCTACACAACAACGTTCAATACAGATCTATCACACTTCGCTCTATCTATGAACATACATACCAGCGCACTGGTATGTATGTTCATAGAGAGAGCGAAGTGTGATAGGTCTGTATTGAACGTTGTTGTATCGCGTGGTGAGGTCAGTTCCCTGTTAGGGAAATGTCGGTCAGTTCTACTGATTTCCTCAATTCCTTTTGTAGGTATTGTCGTGGCGTCAGTTCCTTGGTTAGGAACTTGGGAATCGTAGTAGTGACTGTGGATAGGTATTGAGGTGGTGTGTGAGAAATAAAGTAATGTGTTAGGAATGGAGGATGGAATTGATAGGGAACTGTGTAGGAAATGAGGGTGAGTTCCCAGTTCTGTAAGGAA